TTGAAATTCGAAAATCTGAGCACCCAGGAAAATAATCTTAAAAAAAATCTGAAAACCTAAAATTCGGAAACTACAGTACGCCAGATCTTTTGAAGTTTGAAAATTCTGAGGACCTTCCAGAAGATTTCAAGACTGGAAACCTAATTGTAAGATTCTGAGGTCCTGAACCCAAAAAGTCCTAAGCTATAATATCCCAGATTCTGTATTCCAAGATTCTACATGCTCCGTTTTCCAAAAAATCTTAACATTTCGAAATATCCAAAAATTATCATATTTCATTACGAGGAGCTACTGTACCCAAAACCTTGAAAATTGAAAATCTGACCTCTTAAGAAACCAAGACTTGGAACCTTCGATTCTGAGATGCTGAAGCCTGAAGATCCAGAATTTCAAATCCTATTTTCCAAGATTCTAAGCACGCCCTATCCCAAACCTCTTGTTCCTAGACCCCAAAAATCTGTGTCCCCTACATTTCCAAACCCTTGCTCCATTTTCCAAAATTCCCACACCCAACGACCCACCACCACAGTGCCATCCAGTCCTATCTGCTCTTCTTTCCCTTCGTCCCAAAATTTCTTTTTTTTCTCCCATATATTTTTTGCTATGTTGTTTGGTTTATTGCTGTGTATCTGTGTGTGTGTGTGCTCTAACTGGTCACTTGCTGCCTTTTTTCTCGCGCTGCGTCTCTAAATGCCCGTGAAAAACTGGAGGGAGGCACCGCTACGTGCCAGCCGATGCCAGGGGAGGGCGCCCGGGCACCAACCCGAGGCAGCGAAATAGCATATGAGACGAAGAGACGCAGAGGATCTCCTTTCTTCTGCCTTCCGCACCCCACTCCGCTTCGCTCCGCGCGCGGGCCGCGTCATTTTTTTCCGGAGAAGAAGAAGCTTTGAGAATCTCTCTGTGGGATCCTTGGGCCCTTGGACCATGGGACTCGAACCAGTTTCTGGGAGACAATGACCGCGGTCCCTCAGTGAGGGTCACTTCTCCTATATATGAAACCAGTTGGGAGGGGGGATGTTATTTGTTCCTACCATTAAAAACCCTCTCCCATTGTTTTATTTGTGGAAATTACAAGAAAAAAGGAACATCGTGTTTTGTTGTTTCCTCTCTCTTTTTTCAATTTTTCATTGTCTTTTTGTTATTCTGGAGGTCCACCCCCCACACATCCTTACCCGTCATTTCAATTTGTTTCTTACTTCATGGTGTCCATTTCCATGCATTTCTAATAGTTTGTTCTTGAGGCTGGCGCGCCTTTGACGCTTTTAAATCAATTCCTTGTTTTTTTGCTTTTCTTAAGGGTCCAGGATTCTGAAGGCTTAAGTTCCAAGACTACGGTATTTTTAGACCTTTTTTAATGCTCTTGACATTTTAAAGATTGTGTGTCTTCGATATTTGAAGGATCTGAAATTCTGAAGTTCGGAAACTTGGAAATTCTGAGATTCTGAAATTTTGAGATTCTGAAATTCTGAGATCCTCAAGCTCTAGAATTTCAAGATTCTGAGAATCTGAGGCACTAGGAAATCAAAATTCTGAGATTCTGAGATTCTGATATTCTGATATTCTGATATTCTGAGATTCTGAGATTCTGAGATTTCAAGCCTTCAGGATTTTAAGGACCTGAGATTCTGAAGCTCTTGGATTTTGAGATTCCGATATTTTAAGATCTTGAGATTATGAAATTCTGAGGCTCTAGGATTTTAAGATTCTGAGGTTCCGAAATCCTGAGATTCTGAGATTCTGAGATTCTGAGATTTTGAGATTCTGAGATTCTGAGATTCCGAAATTCTGAGATTCTGAGATTCTTGAAATTCGTAAATATTGAGCTTCCTGGGCTCTAAAATGTCTGAATCCAGATTTTAAGATTCTAGAAATCCGGCTTACGGTAGCGCTTCTCCTTTTGCCCGCCACTCTAGGATTACTATAGAATTCTCACAGAATGTTCACATTACAGGATTACTGTAGAATTTATACATATGTTAATTTTTCTAAAATTTTCAGCTTCTGTATGTCGGGTTACTGTAGAATTTTCTTTTTTCTCGTTTTTCTAATTTTAACCAGTTCCTTTTGTCCGCCTATCATATTATTTTATCTAGGCCACCTACCTCTACTTATACCGGTCAGTTTATTCCATATGATCGTGAAACAACTGTTTTATTGTCTCTCTTTTCCCTCAATTTGTGAACTTCTCTCTCTCTCTCTCTCTCCCTCTCTCTTCAAACATTTGATATACTATTTTTTAACATTTTGAACAACAAAAAAATGTAGTCTCTCTGCTATTATTATCGGTTAGAGGGGCATCATCATCATGTCACCGGTCGGCACATAAACATAGCTCCGTGCCAGGAGGGAGAAGAGTCCAGATGGGAGCGACGCGGAGAGGGGGCGCAGAAAAAAGGGGGCGGAGCCGCGGAAATCACGCGGAAAATGTGTCAGAGAAGTGGGAGAGAAAAATCATATTTGAATTATGATGATGATATTTGGAAACAGGCAAGTAGTAGAGCTACCTGGACATTTGATTTATTTTGAAAACAGGGATAAGGTGATAAGTGATATTGACCCAAATTTAAGTCTGATTGTTTTCGCTATCTGAAAAGTGATCTAAACAATTTTCAATTGAAACAAATTGAATCCTTGCCAAAAAAGAATTGAAGATGTTCTTTGATTTTATAGTTAGCCTTGACCTCTTCCATACGAACAGAAGCCCACCTATACCGTCAACTTTGAGCTCAATTATCTCGGTTCCTATAAAAGATAATGAAAAGTTGTCAACTGACAGAATATTTATCACATTATCAACAATATTTGATCAATTGACACAATTTTGATATCTTTCACAGGAATCGAGATAATTAAACTCAAAGTTGACTAATTGGGTGTTCTTCTATTAGAGCAAATAAGGTTGCTGATAAACTAATAATTTTTTGATCCTGAAAAAATGTATCTTTGTTAGAAATTACTAAAACAATTAAATGTAACTAATTTTGATTTCCTAGTGATTACGGTAGATTCTGGCCTACGAAACTGAGTTTACGGTAGATGCTCAAAAACTAGATTTGAGGATCTTCGGAGGTTCCTTTCCTTTTGGGTATCTTCAATTTTCATGATTTTCTGGAAAAAAGGATTACGGTAGATTTCAAAATTGGATTATGGTAGATGAACTTGAATTACGGTAGAAAGTTTGAATTATGATAGACTACCGGTAAAACGAAAACCTGAAATACCACACTCTGATGGAACGCCCCCACCATTACCATATTCTAACTTTGAACCAATTTATCTTCTATCCTGTAAAAGATATCAAAAAGTGGTCAACTGATAAAATCTTTCTCATTATATCACCAATATTTTGCCAGTTTATCACTTTTTGATATCTTTGACAGGAACCGAGATAAATTGGCTCAAAATTAGAAGTTAGGGGTTTCTCTATTGCAGGTTGTACAGTATGCGTCTTGTCTGGAATTTCAATTTTATCCTGATTTCTGAAGTTTTGGGTTTATCTGAAACCCACAATATTTTCTCATCGTGAAATACTTTAACCCTTCATTTTCTAGAATTTTTATCCAGAAAATTCTAGAAGACGTAACACCTGTACATATACACAACTATACACATATCAATCCGCATCGCATCCGCTGGTGTTTTTCCGCATCCCACTCCCTCCATGTATTAAAAAAAAAATTTCCATTTCGTAATCCTCCTCTTCAGGAAGAAAATGACGAATTCTGTGTTGTTATATGCCATCTCTCATCATCCGCGCGGAACAAAAACAAAATCCTTCGTGTATGTGTTTTGAGCCGTTCCGCGGAGCCAAGGAACTTAGAAAAGAAGAGAGCAAGAGAAATAGAGAGCGAAAGAAGTGTGCCAGCCGCGGTGTTTGTTTTCCGGGGTGGTCCCCCTCTCCCCTTGGCGCCCAGCACCACCCATGGTACCAGTAGTCGGTCGTCGCCTGCTGCTGACGCTGCCTGCTTCAGAGAAACGAGAGTCGAGAGAAACGAGACATTTTTTTGTTCATTTTATGCAGGGGGAGTGACCAGTGTCCGAGTGGAACACCAGCAAAGAAAAGAGAAAAAAACGTGGACGGATGGCAGTGCCTATCCCCGGTGGCCGGCGCAGTCGTAAATAACAAACACATAGGAAGAGAAAAACGAAATTCAGGTTTCTATTTTTCACAAATTCACACAGATGCTCTCTACTCCTCCTACTTCTCCAATTGCATGAAGAGAGCATCATCACAGAGGCTAGAGGCTGGCACCGTCGAGGAGCCTCTCAGCTGACCACAGAGGGGTGGGCTCATAGGTCATCAGGTGTTCGGAGAGGGGAGGAGAGAAAGAGAATACTGAAACACACTGACAATATGTGTTCTTATATTTATTCGTAGGTTCTGGAACTTCTGGAGCTTGGGTTCTAGGGTCCTCCTCAAGGCTATCCTTAAGGCCTTTGGGGTTCCATGGTCCGCAGCTTTGGAACTGCAAGATGATCCGTAAGAGATGAGGTCCCAGGCTTTGGGTTATAGTGTTATAGGGTTCCAAGGTTCCAAGGTTCCAAGGTTCCAAGGTTTCAAGGTTCCAAGGTTCCAAGGTTCCAAGGTTCTAGGGTTCTCAAGGCTTTGGGTCAAGCTTAGGACTACCTAGGACCACTAACGTCTTGGGGTTCTTGGGTTCCTGGGTTCCTGGGTTCCTGGGTTTCTGGGCATCCCAGATCTCGAGAATTATCTTCTCAAAACATTTCTCACCGTTCCTACCTGGACCTCCTTGTCTTATCCAGATTATCCAGACTTGAAATTATTATTCTTCTTCTTTAAACGTTGTTTGCTGTTCCAGGATAGGTATTCCGAACATAATCTGAAAATCCTGGCAGTTCGAAAAACAGTTTCTGATTAACTTTATGATCTTGGGTTTAGGCCCGCCCTGGCTTTTCAGTAGTTACTTTTCATTTTTCTTATTTTCCTAAACTTGAGGCTTCTAGAAATCTCAAAACCTTCTAAATTTCAGAATCCGATGACACTGGACTTCGAATCAATCTCCACCGATGCTCATATGAAGGAGGAGGAAGAGGAAGAGTACGATGAAGAAGAGCTGATGGATGAGGAATTCGATGAAGAGGAAGAAATCGAAGAAGATGCTTCCGAAGAACTAGAGAACAGTGATAGCTCATCGTCCCTTGTCGCCGGCTCCCCACACGGATCCTCATCAGGTTCCAATTCCAGTCACTCCCCATCCCTCCAAGATAGCCCCTCTCATGGATCCTCTGGATCTTCCCCAAGTCAAGGATCCAATGCCCCGGAGAAAAGACACATTTGCTCCATTTGCAATAAGGGATTCTCATATTTTTCGATTCTGGAGTCCCATAAACGATCACACACCGGTGAAAAACCCTATAAATGCCACTATAATTGTCCCAAGAGGTTCGCCCAAAAAGCCACACTTCAAGTACACGAAAGGACCCATACTGGAGAGAGACCGTAAGAGCAACGTGGCGTTTTTTAGATGCTCCAATATAAGATTTTCAGGTACAAATGCAGATACTGTCCGAAGACATTTGCACAGTATGGTACTAAGACGGTGCATGAGAAGAGCGCTCATTTGGGAATTAGGAATTATAAATGCCCAAAATGTGGAAAGTTACTGTCATCGCCATCAGCACTGTATACACATAAGAAAACACATGGGGATAAGATTTTTAGAGTGAGTAATGGGAGGTTATAGATACCACATAGGGTTCCTACAGTACCGTATACAAAAATAAGGTATACAAAAAATGCTTTTCCGTTGATTTTCGGTCGTTTTCAGGAGTCTGCAGCTCGGCTCTCAAGTTTCAGATCACTTTGAAAACTATGAAAGCTGTAAAACAGACCTAGATTAAAAACTTTGCATTCACAGAATTCTTTGTAAATCTCTAGTTTTTCAGATATTTGATGAGTTCTGAAAGACACCTGTTTTTCAAGTTTCCAGTAGAAAAGCAGGTAAAAAAAGATTGCTGGAAAACTAGGAATTCTCGAAAATCTGAGAAAAAAAATCAGCTCTTAGCTCGTTTGGGAGCCGAGAAATGGCAGTTTAAGT